GAGAGGCCTACATGGCACAGAACAGAGGTCTCGGGACAACTTCTAGTGAGGAAATGAGACTTGCCAACAATCCCATGAGTGAGCTTGGAAGCAGATCCTCCAGCCCCTGATGACTATAGTCTCTGCCGACAGTTCCACTGCAACCTCAAGAGAGACCCTGAGCCAGAACCACCCAGCTAAGCTACTCCCAGATTCCTGAGAAACTGAAAGATTTTAAATAAATGCTTTTTTTTTTTTCCCCCCAAGGTGCTAAATTTTGGAGTAATCTGTTATACAACAATAGATAAGTAAAACACGGGAGTATCACAAAACTAACCTAATAAAAAGGAAGGTAAGAACTAAGAATGATTAAGAGATATGCTCTTAAAAAATCACACACAGGGCGCCTGGGTGGCTCAGTCGGTTAAGCGACTGCCTTCGGCTCAGGTCATGATCCTGGAGTCCCTGGATCGAGTCCCGCATCGGGCTCCCTGCTCGGCAGGGAGTCTGCTTCTCCCTCTGACTCTAACCCCTCTCATGTGCTTTCTCTCATTCTCTCTCTCTCTCAAATAAATAAATAAAATCTTTAAAAAAAAAAAAAAAAAAAAAAGAAATCTCTCTCTTTAAAAAAAAAAAAAAAAAAATCACACACAAAAAATTCAAAAGCTCAGCTTAATTAAGAGTACAACATCACAAAAGCTGACTTTATATATCACATAACATCTCAATTTCAAAATAAAATTCAGCTCTACCACTGTCTTACTTTTATAAGTTACCATATAATTTCTTGAATACTGTTATTATGAAGTAACATTTCCTAGTATGTGCAGTTCCATGGAATACTTTTTCCTCAAGCTAGTTAAGAGTTGTTTTAGAAAAATCAATTCCAGGTTTAAGTAAATTTGAGAAATATAGGATTAAGTTTTTAAAAGGTCTCTTTATACCAGGTCTTCCGAGAGCCTTTAATGTGCTAAATGACACTGTAATTCTCCCAAACACATCTATTTTAAGGTAACTTATTGGATCACAAAATTCATTTCCAGAGAACGGATAATACATCGGGTGTTCTATGGAACATATTTTGAAAAATGTAATAATGGTATTTTTTATGTTTTTACCTAGCACAAGAAACTTTACTGTATAAAGCAAACCTCAATTGCTGGGTAAAAATCATAACTTGTACAAAAATGACACAAACAACATATATATCTAAATTTTGAAAACTTGACTTGAATTTACCCAGTTTGGTACTTGAAGTAGTTAAGCTTGATGAAAAAACTTGATGAAATACTTTTTAAAAGAAACTTAAGAAAACAAGAGGCAGTAAGTATCCTTCAAAGGTCCTTCAGAAAATATTCAAGATTTACATAAAAATTACATTCTATTCTTTTTAAACCCTTAAATTTAATCCATTTAAAAATAGTAATATATACCTTTTGAAAGTAAAAACCAAGTACTTTCAAAAGTTGGTGTTTAAGTTAAATTTTCTTAAGTCTTATAAATGTCTAAATGATGTGTTGAAAACTGCTTAGAATTATTAAAGAACTATCACGATTGCAGCAAAACAGTGAGGTTTGGTTAAGTAATACTACCACCACTACTCTTTGAATGGATGGCCAGTGGAAATTTCTCAAGCAGTATTATGATTACAAACTTTGTGTTGAAATGACAAATATATATTCTTTAAGTTTCAAACATATATCTAGCATAACGATCATAAAAATATATCTAATTGCTGTTATTTAATATAAATAAATACTTGCGTTTAAAAAAATGTATCCAAGGAATCTAGAATGGTTCTCCACTGCCTAATACCTCAGGTCTAAACTGTATTTGTAAGGCACTACACATGGATGGTATTCAAATTTGTTTTCTCAACCCTCCCAGTACAGTTTTAAACCATGTGTTTCTCTACTGACATCTAAAAAAAAAAAAAAAAAGTCCCCTGGAAATACTCAACAGTGTACATTGATACCTCAGTAGTCAAAGCAAGTTTTGACCTCAAATACCTGCAGGCCAGAAATGCAGTCCAATCATTTTTTAAACATTCCTTTCTCCTTCTAAGGAAATTTTAGCTGTTTTGGTTAGTTGTATTTTTAAATTATGTGCCTGAAGTTATATTCTCATGCCTCACTGCCTAAAGATAAGCTAACTTCGAGGAATCCCCACACTTGAGACAAAAAAAAAAAGTAGGCTTTTCTGGATGGCAAAGAACCCCAAAATTTATTTACCAGCCAAAAAATTAAACCACAGAAAAATTAAGTCCTTTTCACCAAATTTCTAATGCCACCACCAAAGTCTATGCCCTAATTCTCTTGAACTTTGAAATTGTTATCAACTACTATCTACCCTTATAAACCAAACAATTCTCATCTCCCCAATTTGATACCCTTGCTCAAGAATCTATGACTGCTATACACTTAACCAATAGATATGAAATCCAAAATCCCTTTCCTAGAATTCAAGACCCTCCCTCATCTAGGCATCTTCCCTTACTATACTGTACTCTGATAGGGACAGTTTCCTCACTGTTCCCCAACCACTCAACCATAATTTACACCTTTTGCCCATGCCATTCTAACCTCACCCCTCCTCAACAGGGAATGCTGGCACTTTTCCTTTCCACCAACTGTCTACTCAAGGATGAAAGTCCAATTCATTGTATTTCTTCCCTAAATCTTTTGCAGTTTACAGAAGGAAATCAGAATACTGAAGTGAGCCCCTATTCACTGCACCATTCAATGTAGAAGGCAGAAGCCAGATGTGGTCAATGGGCAATTGAAATGTCTAGTCCAAACTAAAATATAAATGTCTAAATGCGCACCAAAGTTCAAAGACTTGGCAACAGAAAAAGAATGTAAAATACAAAGATGTTTTATAATGATTACATGTTGAAATGCTAACATTTTGGAAATATTAAAACTAATTTCACCTGTTTAACTTTTTTTATAATGTGACTACTAAATAATTTAAAATTGTGTATGTGACTCCCATTTTATTTCTACTAGATAGCACTGCTCTCTAGTGTGAATAAACAATTCTATTGCCAGGAGATAAGATGAGCTAAGAACACCCTGAGTCACACTGCCTGTTTTTAAATCTTTCCCACATGGAAGACTGTGGACAAGTTAACATCTCTATGCTTCAATGTCCTCAAATTTAAAATGGTGGTAAGTTAGCTACCTCATATTATTCAATGAGAACTAAAAGAGAAAAGCTAAATACAGCAGGTATCAGGTATTAGTATTATTCTTTATTAAAAAGCAGGAAAGGGCATACACATCAAAGTCAAACAGATTCTCACATTTTTTAAAAGACTTTAAGAATGTAGGGCACTTTGTTGTTCTTGTTGATTTAGTATAACACTGGAGGAGCTGAGATTGATCACTAAGGTACAAGCTGAAGAAATCCAAGAGTTCCCAAACTTTTTTTGGACAGCTCCTGCTCTCCTTTAAATAATAAAGTGAACTTACGGAGCTATTCTCCCAAAGAATACACACCTGTGGCATGTAAATACATAAATTTATGGCACAGCACTTTTTGTGGAGAAATCATCATAACCAAATAAACATCATAGTCGTTCGCCTGACACAGCCTTGTTATAGAACCCTTCATTTTATACAGCCCTTAACAAAGAACTTCACCTATACTTTATGTTCTGTTCACAAAGGCAGATATATTATTGGTTAAATAGTCGGGAGTTTTACTATGCTTATTTCTCCCTAATAAAGAACCTAAAGGTGGAGAAAACAGGTAGCTCTTAAATAAAAGACACATTTCTCCTGTTAATTAAACTTTTATCTGAAAAGCTAAATTTTAGGGGTTTCCATTCCTATAAATCTATTCAAATCCAACTATCTAGATTAATTACAACTTGTCCTTACTTCCTCGTCCATCAAGCAAAAGGCTTTCATAACATTTTTTGGGAAGAGGTTAAATAAAATATTATATACCTACTAAAATGTTTATATTTTCAAGGAAAATACATGAAATAACTAAACAGAAGCTTAGAAAGAGACAGACCCCATTACCCGAAGAATGTAATATTCAAGACAACTTTCAAAGTCCAGTTTAACACCCAGAGGAAGATGATTCGTCTTCTTTACTTAGGCAGCAATCTTCCTACCCTTACCCGCCTTGCAACTTTCCAATTCCCTCCCCATGGCCGTTGAAAACCGTCTCAATGCCCTTCTCTGGGGCTCATGTTTTTCTTTCCTCTCATTACCAAGCAGCTCGGCTTGTCCCGGGAAGAAGGAAAGTGCCCAGAAGAACCGGAGGATAGGACCGCGCTGTCTTGACAACCTCACTCATGGCCCCTCCCCCAGCCGCCGCCGGAGACACCGCGGGGCCCCAGCCCCAGACGCCACTCTACCGGCTCCAAGATGTAAACATCGCCCTTTTCTTCCCTGCCCGCTCCCAACTTCCTTCTCCCAGCCCGGCTTTGAGGGAGCACAGTGAAAAAGGGAGGAGACCACATACCCTCCGAAGTGAGGCGAGAGAAGGGCTTAAGCAACTCCGCGAAGCTAAGGTGATTGAGACGAGTGAGCCGCTCGGCTTCGTCGCTGCACAGAGCGGCGACACAGGGGACGAAGGAGTCCGGGATTAGCTCCTGCACTGATTGTACACACTGGGCCATCGCCGCGGCAGAAGCAGCGGCGGCGCGCGCCCTCCGGCCCACTCTCAGAGGCCGATCCTGCGGCTGCAGCAGCTACTGCCGCCGCCCGCCGGCCTAGCCCGGCCGGGCGGGGCCCCACACCGAAGCCTTGAGACCAATAGAAGGAACAGACGCCGCTGCCTCGGCTCTCGGGCACACAACACCGACCCCTCCCCGGCACCGCCGCTCCTCAGGGCTCGCCCCGGCGTCCTCGCATTCCACCCCGATAAGTGGAGACGCCGACAATCGCCAGTTAATCCTCCCGACGGCAAAACCTTGGTCACTGCCCGACCGGAACCGCCATATTGAGGCCGAACCCTGACCCACCGGCAGTGCCCGTCCCGGCAGGCCCCGCGCTCGCCCCTCACGTGACGGTATTAAAGGAGGCGATGGGGGCGGGGGGAAAGGGCGAGGAGAGGGAAGTGAAGAGCGACGGAGGCCGGTGGGAAGACTGGTGCCGGAAATGGTGGGGTGGGTGGGCCCCTACGGGGAGGGGCGGGGCTACCAACTTGGTGGGCGGAGCCGAACAGGAGACGCGCGACTTTAGGCCTGGTTTTCAGGCGGGCCCTTGGCAACGCCGAGAGAGCTGCTCGGGGCGAGCGTACAGGTCGGCGTTCGAGATCCGTCTGTCACAGTGGTGGACGGGCGCTCGCTCGCCTTGCACGCGAGCCGGGTCTGCTTGGAGCCCCAAAGCCTCTCCCTAGAAACAATAGGGAAATAATGTGGCTGTTCGCTCTGCTTCCCGAGCTCCCGGCAGAACGGCATGGGGCACCTGCTCGCGGAAGAGTGGTTCCCGTGGCGCCGGCCTGGTATCGCTTGAACACAACCATGCTTTTAGAAGCGGGCTACCGAGCGAACGTGGACTTAACCAGTGAGCAGAAATGTATGTGCTGCAATTAACGCGAGTGTAACGGAAAGCTCGCGCTACCGCGTTTTTGTTGGTCGCAGGGAAGGAGTATGCTTGCAAACGTCTGAGTCTTCCGTCCGCAGCCGCGTGCTTTATTTCACTGTGCCGGGAGGTTTTCTTCGCAGCCGCAGAGGTGAGAAGCCAGTAATTCCTTACCAAATGGAGTCTTAAACTGGCTTCCGTTCTTAGCGTTCCTTTTTATAGATTGTTCTTTTACATAAGTGGAAGTGAATGAAAGGGATTCTACTATCGTGTCACGGAATGGCTTGAATTCCTTCTGAATTGTTTGCCAAAAATATAAAGCAAGGAAAAATACAACGCTCTATAGCGATTTTATGGTACCCTGACTTAAAGGAGGCTTTCCCAACACGAGTACCTCAAATTGTCGGATTGTTTGGCGCCTTGGGGTTTTTACCGTCATAAGAATTTATAACAAGCAAGAGGTGTATGCCTTCCTCCTGTAAATTGAAAGGTGGGAGGTAAGAAAGGACAAAAAGACATAAGGACTTGACAGCTAAGCCACAAATCAGTTTAGAAAAGATAACGTGCAAGTTGAGGATCAGGAAATTCATTTTAAAACTATTTGTGCCAGAGCACCTCTTGGAAATTCTTCTTGTATCTCCAGGAGCACACATTTCCTTTTGATACTTAAGATCTCAATCCCTTATGTGAGAATCCGTACGAGTGAGTATGACTCAAGTTATATATATATATATATTTACATATATATATTACATATATATATTTACATATATATATTACATATATATATTTACATATATATATTACATATATATATTAACATATATATTACATATATATATATATATTTTTTGGTTAAGAGGGCTCCTCAGTGCAAGCATACTACTTTATTTAGCACTCAGCTCAAAGTAAAAGTTAAAAAGGCAATATATTTTTTACACTAAAGTTAAAACTAGTTGTATTAGGCTCTCTGAGAAGAACTTTCAAGAGTAATTTAGCCTGAATGAATTTTTTTAGATAGTTGCATTCCATAAAATTCACCCCTTTAAAGTGTACATTTCAGTGGCTTCTAGTATATTTGAAGTGGCACAACCATTGCTTCTATCTAATTCCAGGACATTGTCATCACCCTAAAAAGAAGCTTGGTACACATTAGCAGTCCCTGTCTACCCCTCACCCCTACCAGCCCCGGGCAATCACTAATCTACTTTCTGTCTTTATAGATTTATTTATTCTGAACATTACATATAGATGGAATCATTTTGTGTCTGACTTCTTCACTTAGCATAATGTTTTCAAGGTTCTTTCATGTATCAGTATTTCATTCCTTTTTATGGCTGACCCTAAATGGCTTTTTGTCTTATGCATTGACTTTACAGTCTAACACCACATTCACACATAGTGTTTCCAGTAAGTAACTCACTGTAAAAAACTATTTCTTCCCATTCTCTCCTGGTCTTCTAAGATGTTCATCTTCTAAAGTGTTGTCCTCATCTAAAGGTTAATGCAGAGTCACTGCCACATCTGCTTTCCAGGCTGCAGGAATGGAGAAAAGAGAATGGAAAAGCACATGATTAATGGTTTAGGATCAAATTGTATTAGTGGCATTCAAAAATTTCACTCACATCCCACTGGCCTCAGTGAGTCTCACGATCACATATATCTCCAACAGAGACTGCAAAACATAGGCTTCTCCTGAAGAGGAGGAGAGGGAATATTATTTATAAAGTCAAGGGTGGGGCACCTGGGTGCCTCAGTCGTTAAGCATCTGCCTTCGGCTCAGGTCGTGATCCCAGGGTCCCGGGATTGAGCCCCACGTCGGGCTCCCTGTTCGGCGAGAAGCCTGCTTCTCCCTCTCCCACTCCCCCTGCTTGTGTTCCATCTCTCGCTGTGCCTCTCTCTGTCAAATAAATAAATAAAATATTTAAATAAATAAATAGTCAAGGGTGTCTACCACACTTTATTAGGAATGAGGTATCCTACGGAATGTATTTGTGTGGGGTCCATGATACCACACATCTCTCGTTTCTCTGATTCCTCTGGACACTGGCCCATTTTCATCACACATCCTCTGGACTATTCACTGTGTCCACGAAAAATTAGATGCTTTGATTGTGCAGGCTTTGGCCATGTGCCCGCCCTCAAAGTCAAGAGGATAGGGTCTATCACAAGAGGCAACTTGTTGGACAAAACAGTAACAATAACACAAACAACTAAGGACCTCTTTTCCAATATCAAATATGAGAACCAGCTTCCTTCTCTCCCCAAAATAAAAGAATGCTGTAAAACTTCTGCTAAGCCAATGGGCTTATATTTATATCTATACTGTGATATCAAGCATACATTGATTGTTTTATTTTGTATGTATGGTATTTCCAGTCTCTTCTGATGGCTAGTGAAGTCAAGTTTAAAGAACACAGATGCTGAAGTCATAGAGGGGGTTCAAAAGTAGTGCTACCACTTGTGAATAGAAATAATATCACCTTTATTGGTCACTGTCTACCAAGCACAATGCTTGATGTTCTCTACTGCTTCTGCTTCTGATACAAACCCTGAGAAGTACATGCATCGCCAATTTTCAGATGTAGAAACTGAAGCACAGATCAGTTAATTAATTTGCCCAAAGATAATCAGCACTGGAGCCAGGAACAAAACCAGCACAGTTTAACCCTTGAGACTTGATCACTAGGATAAATTGCTTTTCCATGTTTCCTTCCTTTGAAATCACCTCCAGAAGTTTTAGTTTGCAACAGCATACATAGTTTTAGCAAGAAATCTGTGGCTTTTGACAAGTCCCTTATCTTTTCTGAGCCTCACATTCTTTATCAGTAAGCTTAGAAAGTTGGGGCTAGAAGATATCTTGTATTTGTTTCAATGTGAAGATCTGAGAATCTATTTTCTTTCCACTATTATTACATTTCACTGTGTCAACAATAGATGGCGCTATTGAGTATTGGTTTTAAAACCCAGTAAAAACCACTCTAATTACTGAGTGCATAGTCATCACATAGGTAATACCTACCTGTGTATCAGAGCATTAGAGGTCAGGGGATGCCCAGCATATTTATACATTAAAAGTTTTTTAAGCTCAAAGATTTTACATTATGTTACTTTAAAACCTTAGGGGGGAAAACGACTTAAATATATAACCCATATATTGGCCCACATTTTTTATTTTATTTACTGCACTGGATGTTTTAAGATTATTTATTAACGTTCTAAAATTAACATGACATCCATTTCCTGATTATTTTAAGGATGAATCATAATTACAGTGTTGTACTCCAAAGCCCGTAATTCTATTTTATACTTAGAGGTTTTTAAGCTCCATATAAGTCTTCTCTAATTAAATCTGCAGGTAAAAATCTTTTATAAATATTTTTCTCCCTTATGCTTCTAAAATAAGAGATAATATTAATGTTTGCTTTTTTTTTACTATTTGCTTTTAAATGATATATTAGTACTTCCAAAAACTGGATAAAAATGTAGCAAAAATCCATATTATACTCAATGGTGAAATATAAGAATCATTTACTTTAAAATCAGGATAAAACAAAGATGTCTGTTATCACTGTTTCTATTCAATACTTTTCTAGCTTTCTATAAGAGCAGCTAAAGAGAAAAAAATAAGCAAAATTTAGAGGATTTCAAAAGGAAGAAATAAGGGGCCCCTGGGTGGTGCAATCAGTTAAGCTTCCAACTCTTGGTTTTGGCTCAGGTCATGATCTCAGGGTCGTGAGATTGAGCCCCAAGGCAGGCCCCAAGCTCAGTGAGGAGTCTGCTAAAATTTCTCTCTCCCTCTCCCTCTGCCCTTCCCTGCACTAGCTTGCTCTCTCTCTCTAAAATAAATAAATAAATCTTAAAACAAAAACAAAAGGAGGAAACAAAATTTTGCTCATTTTAGGGGTGCTTGGATGGCTTAGTCGGTTAAGGGTCTCACTTTTGCTCAGGTCATGATTCCAGGGTCCTGGGATCAAGCCCTGTGTCACTGGGCTCACTGCTCAGGGGGGAGTCTGCTTCTCCCTCTCCCTCTCCCTCTCCCTCTCCCCCTCCCCCTGCTTGTGCTCCACTCCCTCTCAAATAAATGAATAAAATCTTTTTTAAAAAGTATACTCATTTGGGAATGATATAGTGAACTAAATATATAGGTACCTTCATCATATATATGTGGCTATTCATCTCTTCATTTGCTTTCCCAGAAGAAGGCAGAACTCCTATTTTTAGCTCTTAGACTTAAGGCATCATCATTTGACTTGGTTTTGGTCAGCTAGACATATACTTGCAAGAATTCTATCTGAAAGTGTATTGTGTGAGAAAACATGTTTTTGGAGAACTTTAATTTATGCTCTCATTGGTAGTGGCAGAGGCACCATAAAGATGTCAATTCTACCAAAATTAATCTACAGGTTCAATGCAATTTCAATCAAAATACCCACAGAGTTTTTATGGAATTTGACAAACAAATCCTAAAATCCATATTTAAGAGCAAAGGTCTAGAATAGTTATATAATTTTGAAGGCAAATACCAAGGGATTTATTCTTCCAGCAAGCCAGACATACTAAGGTTATAACACAGTTATTAAAAGACAGGCATAGTTGAGTAGGCCAATGGAATAGAATAGAGAGCCGCAAGATAGACCAAATTGAAACATGAACAAAGCAAGGAAGAACAGATGAATTATTCGAAAAATGGTGCTTTAATAATTGGTTATCTCTGGAAAAAAAACCCAATTCATTCAAAAAATCAGATCAGGTAGAGAAAAGATGCAAATAATAATAGGAAACCTTACTTGATGTTTATTACATGCCTGCTATAGTTTTAAGCATTTTACATACGCCAACTCTTCTTCCTCCTAACAGCCCTAAGTAGTAGACATGGTTAATATCATCCATTTTATAAATGAGGAAACTGAGGCAAAAGAGGTTAGTTAAATTGTCTCAGAGCTGTGATTTGAACTTAGGTAATCTGCCTCTTGAATCTGTTTTAATATGCTGTACACTGATACGCTATACTGCACATCTTTTTTTTTTTAAGATTTTATTTGTTTAATTAGAGAGCAGGGTGAAGGGCAGAGGGAGAGGAAGAGAAAGAAGCTCAAGCAAACTCCATGCCAAGCATGGAGCCCCATGCAGGGCTCTATCTCATGACCC